CAAAAAGCCAACCCACTTCCCAAACGGAGGCAAAATGTTATATACAAATTATAATTATTTTATTTTTTCACTTAAAAATTAAAACATTTAAAAAATTAACATAAATAAAATTTTTAATCCCAAATTAAAATAGCTAAAAAACCAATCCACTATGACAAGTGAGAGGGGACTGACAGAAAAAGTGAAAGAAATAAAAGGAAGAAAAGTGTGGTGAGTGGCGCGTGAGAACAATTTTCACACTCTTGTAATTAAATTGTTTCATTTATTTGTGTGGTAATTAAAAAAAAAGAATCCACTTCTCAAGGATTAATTACATTTTACCTTATTATAATTTTCTTCAAAAACATTTTTAATTTAGAAATGTACTTATAAACCACTTGTAATTTGAAATTCAACTCTCTAACAGTTTTTACAAAAAAGTATAAATTGCCCTTATATTTTTCTCTAATTTTCTGGTCTATGCCATCCCAACATTAGAACAGAACTCTCTCACTCTAACCAGTATCAGTCTCTCCATTTTCTTTCTTTCTCTTGCCATTTCTTAACTTCTTAACTTTCCCTATCATCTTTTCCCTACCTCACGAGCAACCCTAGCCACTTCCAAGTTTGGTTGCTACAACCTCCTTTTTACTTTTCCTTTTCTTTTTCTTCTCCCATTTCTTCCTCTTCCTGTAGTAACAATTAGCAACTGCTTCGATTCTGGAAATGTGTACTTTATAGTGTTGGGATTAGTAACATAACCTAGTAGTAGGTTGTATAGAGGTCTTGAAAATGTGTGTGCTGCAATGTATGGTGACTAATATTGCATGTACACTTGATATATAATTTAATTAAGTACATTTGTCATATTATAAATTATTAAAAGAAACTTTTGTTTTACCCACCATAGTTGTACATTTTAATTGTTAAATACTGATAACGTAATAACTTCGATGGTGGATGGGTCGGACTGATCCACGCTTCCAACGGGTCTGCTGACTTTTGTGTCCTCAAAGCGAGCCTGCAAAAAGGTCCAAAGGAGGAGGTAATCCCCCGACGGATACTCCGACGATCAAGTTAGGTTAGGGGAGATTGATTAGAGAGAGAGAGAGAGAGGCAAGGGATGAAAAACTTAATCTTTAACGTATCTCGAAAGCTTCCTTATATCATTTTTTCATCATTTTCTTGTCTATTCCAGACTGTCTTGTTTGCCGAAAGTCTATAGTCTAGCTCACATCGTTCATGGTGAGCCTGCTTCTTCCGGCGTGAAGGGCTTGCCGCATTTAATGTTGCGAGGGCCTCATTAAATGGCCGATGTGTGAGTGCAATAACTTTGTAGGATCTTTGTCTGCTTATGTGGCTAATTTCTTGCCTGTGTTCGAATGCTATTGGTCTTGGGCCAACATTGGCTTTTCAAAGTTATTGGGCTTTAACACCTGGGCCGTGAGCTGGGCCCCGAACCGTGGGCTAGGCCCCCTTTGGGTGCTTGTGGCTTGCTTTTCATGCTCTTTTCGGATTTGACTAGCCCCACAGTTCGGATTCCTATGATTCTGAATCTGATTTCACAAAGTGCAATGTGAAACAGTGAAAGCACAAAAGAATCCAAATCTGGCAATTCTTTTAGAAAATCGATGTTTGAATCAAATGCCAAAAATAGACTGCTTTGTCAGATTTCAGAGTCGCCATCTAAATATTTTTCAAAAATTTAAGAAACCCGTGACTCGTGCCAAAGGCCACTTATCCGTCATCAGCAAAGTGTCTCGGCTCGGGAACTTAGGTACAAGAGGGGAAGGTCATGAATTGAGCACCCCACTCGTCTGATCAAAGATCTGCCTCTATTAATCATGATGTGATTTGTATTTACATTATATGCTCTTGTTCCGATTATTAGCTATTTTTATTATGTGACTCACATAATTATAGACTAATTTGCAAAAGTTGGAACGTTTTGATTTCATGTTTGTTTTGAAAATTGTTTTTGATACTCGTCACTTGAAAATGTGAGTCTGTATGTTAATCAATTTGTCCCAATTTTGGCAATTAGCCTCCATCCATAGATATTCAAATAGGTATATCATTTAAGCAATTAGCCTCATGGAAATATGCTTGGCATAGCAACACAAACATTCGATGTAAGATGCTAAAGCTCAAAATTGCTCACCTAGTACTCCAAGCCAAAACAAAGAAAAATAGTTAGAAAATATACATGCTCCTAACTAATGCAATATGACTAAATGCAACGCACACATTATGTAATTTATAGGCTCGACTATGAGCATGACATATGATTCCATTCAAGACATGTGATAAAGCACGTACTCAAGAAATGAATTTGAACATTGATATTAGGTTAGTATGATGAGCCGAACCTTGAATGCATACGAGGTAATGGATGCAAAGCATAAGAATGATAATTTGAGAAATGATGTTCTATACTAACCATCGTAAGCAAGTAAGTAAAAAGAAGAAAGATGTAGGGTTAGAAGACATACAACTTATTACATGTTGGCTCTCACATAAGAGGGTTCGAATCAAAGTCTGAAAGTCTGAATTAAACTAATTATTACAAAATCGAATGAATAAATAAGCAAAGAATTAACTAGCTAGCTACTTCACTACAACAAGGATAATAATGAGAAATAAACTATCTATCTATCTAAGTTAATTAGCTATAACAATTACAAGTAAACAATAATAATAATAATAATAATAATAATAATAATAATAATAATAATAATAATAATAATAATAATAATAATAATAATTACAACAATAATCAGAGCATTAATTTACAACATTGATGCAAGCAAGGATGCACAAGGGTTGCATCCACAGTGTCTAAGAACTGCTTTATCTGCCTAGACCTGCTCTGTTTCACCTTCAACCACTACTCTCTGTTTTCTGTAAAACATATTGCTGACCAAACATTGATGGCCGGTCGGCCCCCAATGAAGCCCAGCGGGGCCTAAATAAGACTGGCTGTGCCTTAATTTTATGCAAAATCTTGTTTTGTGCTTTGAAGTGAAAACAGTGCAGACAGAGTTATTCTGAACTCTGTTTGTTCCTCGCACACTTCTTTGTCATGAGAAAGCCTCAAGAGAAGGTTAGAATCATTTCCAAAACCATCAATGAGCAATTTGTTTGCTTGATGATTTTAGTCAAAATTTGGACGAAATTCAATGAGTGCATTGAATAACAACCATCCCTTCCTTTTATCATGGGATGAGCTCAAAAGAGGGGAGTAAAGATGCTTCAAGGGTTGTCAAAACACCATGAATTGATATGTGACGACTCTTGACACAATGGACTCGGCATAGCATTCAGCCGAGCCCAAGCAATATAACTTATTTTCTTTATGTGAGTTGGTTCATTTTAAGCTAAATTCATTAGTCTTTGTCGTTCTTTAACCCATTTGTCCAAGATGATTGTTATGTCCACTAAAGATTATGTCCACTAAGTGAGAAATATGTCAAACATGAAGTGATTCTTAACATGAAAAAGAGACTATGCCGTTGACAATGAACCTCCGTAGAGATTAAGCCATTAAACATAGATCTCTTGTTCATGTTTTGAATAACCATCAACTGATTGAAGCAACTCTCAAATGAAAGGAATGAATAGTAAGCTGATTATTAAAATGAGACTCTTAAACAAGGAAATTAGACAAGGAAAGGCCTAGAACAATATGTAACAAGCTATGTATAAGGCCTTGTGAGACAACAAGCAAACTAATCAAAACATGAATTAATTAAACAATCTGGGATAGCCCTAAAACAACCTCTAATAGGTGAAAAACAGTGGCTCAAAGTGCATGAAAAGTGCCTAAAGAGCTAAACAACAAAGAAAGAAAATAAGGCTAGTAAGCAAGAACAAGGAGGGATGGCTAATCCCTCAACTTTTGAAACCTCAAAGCATGATTTTTAGCCTCTTTTGAACTCTGAAAATCAATTTAGAAAACAAAGAAAAAGGGTGTAAAAACAAGGGTTTGAGCTATAGGTGAAGGTGTAAGAAAGAGTGTTAACTTTCTCTACCCTTTGGTAGCTCTCCAAACCCAAGCTTAAAAACTTAAAGAAAGATCAAAACAATACAAGAATATAAGAACTTGATAGTAAATGATAGAAAAGAGAGCAAAATGAGAGATAATAAGCTTATACCTCTCAAGAAAGGTAAGCTCTTAGTTGTAAATCAAACTAAGTCCAAACACACTCTCAAGCTTGAATTGTGATGTTCAAGGGTCAACCAAGGTTCCTAGGCTAAGGTGTAAAGGTGTATATAGTGCATGGATATAGGTTCAAGGTGGTAAGCTTGCTCAAAGGTTGCTTGCAAAAGAGAAAGGTGTATAGGCTTTTTAGAAATTCTTCAACCCTCAAAACAGAGATACAACTTCATTTTTATAAAATTTGAGCAAGAGGGGTCATAAATATCTTCAAAAATGGATAGATGGTGGGCTCTCGCCCAGAACAATGTTTCTTGCTACTAAGGCAAGGAAAAAATGAACAAGTTTATACATTGTATGGCAAGAAAAAAATGAACAAGTGTTCCGACCAGCAAAGTGAACCATAAAGCAATTGGAACATACAAAAAACAAAAGAGGCTATTTTATTAGAAATATCGCTTCAAGTGCTCGGCCGCGACATCCCAAGGAGAAGGGAAGCCCCGCCCCGCCATATCTTGGAGACGGCAAGTGCCTGGGCGGGGTCTAGTTTTGACGATGTAAGGTCCTTCCCACTTAGCTGCTAGCTTGCCTACGGTTGGGTTGGGTCTAGGTCTTTCACTGCGAATTCTCAGGGTCTGACCCTATAGTTATAATGTTTCCCCATTATCTATTGATAAAAGGCCAGCTTAACAGTAGCTAACTCTCGTAGTTCTTTAATCAAGTCTGGCTCGGCCCATTGCAACTCGTTGTAGTTCTATGTTCGGGTGTATCATCTGAGGGGTTGGAAGATCGATTTCCACGGGGATGACCGCTTCGGCACCGTATGTTAGGCGGAAAAGCGTTTCTCCAGTGGGAGTTCTTATTGTCATTCGGTAGGCCCAGAGCACATTTGGAGTTCGTCTGCCCAGAGTCCTTTGGTGGCTTCCATCTTGGTCTTGATTATTTTTAACAGAGAGCAATTGGTGACTTCAACCTGCCCGTTAGCTTGGAGGTGGCCAGGAGAGAAGAAACTAGTCCTGATGTTAAGCTTAGCGCAGAATTCTCTGAATTTGGCGTTGTCGAACTGCTTGTCGTTGTCAGAGACGATGGCTTGAAGGATTCTGAAATGGCACACAATGGACTGCCAAATGAACTTGGTGGTATTCCGCTTGGTAATCTTAGCAAGAGGCTCTGCTTCTACCCACTTGGTGAAGTAATCGATGGCGACCACAGTGAACTTTACTTGGCCTCTGCCAGTTGGCGATGGACCAACAAGCTCGATGCCCCACTTGGCGAAAGGATAGGGGCTGCTGAGCGTAATCAGTTCTGTTGGAGGGGCGTGGGGGATATTGGCAAACCGTTGGCATTTGTCACACTTGAGTACAAAGTCGGTCGCATCCTGGTGGAGCGTCGGCCAAAAGTCGCCTGTGCGAAGGATTTTATGAGCTAAGGACCGTCCTCTAGAATGGTTACTGCAAACCTCTTCATGGATTTCTCTCATTACATAGGTAGCTTGGTCAGCATTTAGACATTTGAGAAACGGGTGTGAGAATCCCCGTTTGTATAAGATGCCATCAATAATTAAATAGTTAGACGACAGAGCTCTGATCTTGTCGACCTCCTGTTTATTCTCTGGTAGGATGTCCTGTTCTAAGAATGGGATGATGTCTTGGGCCCATGGGATAGGCTCATCTTGGACCAGGTGAACCTCTTGTTGAGTTGGTGAGACTACTAGGTGGGTCAGGTATTTAATGCGGACACCATAGTTGAGGTTAGATTGGTCTGCTAAGGCTAACTGGGCCATTTCATCTGCTTGAGAATTCTCTGACCTGGGGACGTGCTTGATATGAAAACTATTAAAGAGACGGGTGAGAGAAAGAGCGATGTCCCTGTACGACCGCATTGTTTCCTCCTTTGCATCGAATTCGTCCGTTATCTGTCCGACGACCAACCGAGAATCACTAGACACACAGAGATGGTCGACCCCAATGTCCCTGGCTAGTCGAAGACCTGCTATTAGGGCCTTATATTTGGCCTCGTTGTTACTTGCAGGGAACAAAAATCGGAGAGCACACTTGAATGATTCGCCCTCGAGGGTGGTAAGGATCAAGATAGCTCCACTACCTTCTTTGTGGGATGAACCATCAACGCTAAGAGCCCAAGAATTGGGGTCTTCTGCGTCAGGAATGACGTTTGCTGATGTCAGGGATACGTGTAGCTCAGCTTTTTCGAGCCCCCTTTCGGAAGCTTGAAAAGAAGCCTTACAGTTCGGACTCCCGTGGTTCTGAATCTAATCTCACAAGTGCAATGTGAAACTGATAAACACCAAAGAGTCCAAATCCGGCAAATCGTTTTGAAAAATTGATTTTGAATCAAAAACGCCAAAATTGGATTGCTTTGCCAGATACAGAGTCGCAACCTAAATGTTTTATTTTTGGAAAAATTTAGGAAACCCATGACTTGTGCTAAAGGCCACGTGTCCGTCATCACCAAAGTTGCCTCGACTTAGGAACTTAGGTACGAGAAGGAAAGGTCATAAATTGAGCACCCCCGCTCGCCCGATCAAAGATCGGCCTCTACTAATCATGATATGCTTTTTTATAAACATTACGTGTTCTTGTTCCGATTGTTTAAGCTAACTTTACTATGTGATACGCATAAGCAAGTATAGACCACTTTGCTTAATTTGGAACAATTCAACTCATGTTTGTTTGCGAAAATAGCTTGAATTTTCCAGCACAAGTGGGCTTAAAGTTTGCGAATTTTGCCACCAAACATAACGGGCTTAAAACTGATTTGCCACTTAACAAAGTGGGCTTAAAACGCACATTCGTTGAATCGTTTCAATTCAAGCAACAAGCCTTCATCCACTGGCATTCAAGTAGTTTAGCAAATAAGCACTTAGCCTCATGGCAAGCATACTAGACATGGAAACATTCACATTCATGCAAGTATGCTAAAGCATCAAAACTCACCTAGTACTCCAAGCTAAGAAGATATGAGTTAGAAAACTATGCATGATTCCTAACTATACAAGATGCCTAATGAAACAGATGTGATATGCAATTAATAGGCTCGGCTACTAATATGGCATACGAAACAATTTAAATAACAATCGGTTAAACACGTATTCAAAGATTATTGAAATGACAATACAGTTTGAATGATGCGCCGAGACTCGGTGCATGCAATATGAATGAATGGATGCAAGCATAAGGTATGCTAATCGAAATATGATGCTCCTAAACTAACCATCAAAAGCAGTTAAGTAAAAGAGAGAAAGACATGGGGTTGGAAGACATACACGCACGCACACACACTTATTATAACATTACGCCCTCGCGAAGGAGGGTCCGAATGAAACTAGCTAAGCTACTCTACTTAACTAACTATTACAACACTTGAAATGAATCAACTATTCCAAGCTAATTAATTATTACAAAGCAAACTAATTGGCTAAATATTTAACTAATTAATTACAAAGCAACTAAGCTAATTAATTACAACATGAATTCATTAACTAATCTACTTAAATAATTACAACATTTGCATGAATTAGCTACAACTAATTAACTAAGAAAATTAACTAAATGGCCTCGGAAAACAAGGGATGTATGCATGCTCGATTTTTTCACCCGAAGAATATCCACTGTCTGCCACTAATTGCCTCTGTTGCACAACACTTACACTGTTTCCCTTCTCCGGATCAACACTGCTCTGCTTCAGAAGCACAATACTAATTTTTTCACTGATGGCCGAACGGCCACAGATGAGGGTTTACCGACCAACACTGAGGGGTTGCCAACCATTGGAGGCGGCCTGTCGGCCACTGATGAGGGTTTGCCAGCCATTGGAGACAAGTCTTTCCTTGCTGCAACAGAGGACAAAACAGAGCAAGAAAATGGTGGCCTCATAGGTTGTTTGTATCATGTATCACCCCTTATCATCAACACAAGCTCAAAGAAGTGATACATTTGGCCTTTAAACCATCAATTAAGCAATTTCCATGCATGATGGCTAAAGGACTAATTTGTACAAGTTAAATGAATGCAAAACAAGACTCAAATACCATCACCCTATCATGCATGATCAAGGGCAACGGAGACCTAGGAAAGTGGCACATTTCATCACTTTTGAGTATGAAATGTCCCATTTTCCTTGTATTCAAATTAATGTCCGATTTGAACACATGCAATGCAATACAAAGAAATGCTTATCTTGCCACTTTTACTTGCCAATTTTGTTTACACATTTTAGTTACCAAATCATTCTTTAATCAATTTATCCATTGCTGAGCGTCCTCTAAGATGAAAGAAGTGTCAACCAAGGGACAATGGAAGGCAAGAGAGAGACCATGCTGTTGATAATGAACCCTCAAAGAGGTTTAAACCATTAAGCATGACCTTAATCTCAAACATAAAGGATCCTAAGCTTGAAACAACCCTCAAAAGCAAATGAAATAGTGAAGCAAAGAGGGAGGTTGTAGAGTTTATAGTGCTGAAATGGAGTGAAAAACAACACTAAAAGATGCTATCAACTCAAACAACAGGTGTCTAAGACTTTAAAACACCAACTTGTGAGGACTATTACACCACAACCATGCAAAACAAGATTCAAATGAACTAACCAGCCCAAAACAGAGCTAAAGCAGGCTATTTCAGAGGCTAAAACATGCTAGACTTGAGCTAAGTTAAGCTAGAAAAACATGTTAACATATAGAGTTAATTAGGCATGTAAACAAGACACAAGGAGATGAGGCTAACCCCTCCAAATTTGGACTTCAAAATGAGGTTTTTGTCATTGAAAAACCTCTTAAATTCAGTGGTTAAAAGGCCCAAAAAAGTTAGTTTGAAAGTGGTGAACAAAGGTATAAAAGCTTTACAAACAAAGAAGTAAGAAGGGTGAACCATCCCCTAACTGAAAATGGCCTCAAACCACCTCCTTTAGGCCACAAAAACAAAGTTTTTTATAGTTCAAAATCAGCCCCAAAACAACCCAAAAACAGTAAAAGAAAGTGGTAAAGCAAGTATGTAAAAAAAGCTAACAAAGCAAGTGTTATACCTCTTGAAGCCAAGGCACAAATTAGGCAACAAAGCAAGCCACAACCACCTTCTAAAGCTCAAAGAGGGGCTCAAGTAACCTCAACCCAAAGAGAAGCAACTTTGGTAGTGTAGAGACACTAAGCAACTAAACTAAACCAAACCAAACAAAGCCTTAAGTCCCATCAAATGGGGTCGGCTACATAAATCCTTTTTCTCCACGCGGCCCTATCAAAGGCCATTTCATTAGTCAAATTAAGGAGATTCATATATCTATTTATAACACTAGCCAATGTTAATCTAGGCCTACCCCATCCCCTAACACTTCCATCTACCGTTACAGCATCGCATCTATTCACTACTGCCTCTGTTGGTCTCCGTTGAATATGACCAAACCATCTCAATCGATTTTCTCTCAACTTATCTTCTATCGGTGCTACTCCTACCTATTCCCAAATACACTCATTCCTAATTCTATCTTATCTAGTCTTACCACACATCCACCTTAGCATCCTTCTCTTAGCTACACTCATTTTATCTCCATGTTGTTTCTTGGTTGCCCAACACTCCGTCCCATATAACATAGTTGGTCTAATAGCCGTTCTATAGAACTTACCTTTTAGTCTAGTGGGTATTCGTTTATCGCACAATATCCCAGACGCACTTCTCCACTTACACCATCCCGTCTTAATCCTATGGGCCTCATCTACATCAATCTCTCCCGTTGTTGTGATAATCGACCCTAAATAACGAAAATGTTCTCTCTTAGACTAGGGATGGCAATTTGAACCCGGCCCGACGGGGACCCGACCCCCGACCCCGATTAGAATGGTTTTTCCCCGAAAAATACCCCCGTGGGGATGGGGATGGTATTCAAAATTAAATCCCCGATCAATTTCGGGCCGGGGACGGTGATAAGTTTTCCTTCCCCGGCCCCGGCCCGGCCCCGCCCCGCAATTTCCCCGAAACTTCCCCGTATGTGTATATATGTGCATATTATATTATATCTATCTATATAATATTATTATATGTACTTTAGGTTGCTGTGTAGGTTATATATAATATTATTATATGTGTTTTAGGTTGCTGTGTAGGTTATATGATATTATATTATATTGATATATCTATCATAATTCTCTCTCTTGTTTTCCCTCTCTCTCAGACTCTCATCGTTTGATTCGCTTCACTCACTCATCCCTCTCACTGCTCTGAAATTATCTCCTCTCTCTCACCTCGCTGTTGATCGCACCATCCATCTCCACCGTGATGTCTTCGACTTCGTCCTTTCTCTCAGCCGTCGGAGTTGCTCAACCACACAATCTAGATCCACCACCACCACCGGCCGTGAGATCAGATCTGATCCGTGTGTGCAAGACCCAGATCCACCACCACCACCGCCCTACCTCATCTCTCTTTCTGTGATTTGATCCGTGTTTTTTTGTTTTTAAGTTGATGATTTTTGTTGTTGATGATGATGAAACATAATAATAAAAAAAAAAATTTACTGATTTAAGTTTTGTTCATCAAACATAATTTTTTTTTTTTAATTTGTTTTCATTACACACATATTTGTTGATCTACATATTTGATTTGTTTCATTATACACAAATTTAATTTGTTTGCATTATACACATCTATTTTTAACCTTCATATTTAATCTGATTTACGCATATATGATGATGATGATGATGAACATTGTTGTTGTTGATGAATATATAAGATCTGTTGTTTTTTTTTTTTTTTTTTTCGACCGGGGAATTTTCGGGGTCGGGGAAACCCGATCCCCGTTGGGGGACGGGGACGGGGGCGAAGATAAGTTCCCCGTCGTTTGTTTACACATTTTAGTTACCAAATCATTCTTTAATCAATTTATCCATTGCTGAGCGTCCTCTAAGATGAAAGAAGTGTCAACCAAGGGACAATGGAAGGCAAGAGAGAGACCATGCTGTTGATAATGAACCCTCAAAGAGGTTTAAACCATTAAGCATGACCTCAATCTCAAACATAAAGGATCCTAAGCTTGAAACAACCCTCAAAAGCAAATGAAATAGTGAAGCAAAGAGAGAGGTTGTAGAGTTTATAGTGCTGAAATGGAGTGAAAAACAACACTAAAAGATGCTATCAACTCAAACAACAGGTGTCTAAGACTTTAAAACA